CCTTTGGCATGCTTTGTTCAGATCAGTGAAATCCACACACATTCTCCACTTCCCGTTTTTCTTTTTGACCATGACGACATTGGCGACCACTGGGGGTATTTTGATTCTCTGATGGAGCCGTTGGCCAGTAACTTGTCTACTTCCGTACTGACTGCTTCGTGATAGCGGCGTTGAATTTTCTCCTCATCTGTCGCACGGGCGGATGTAGTGGATCAACATTCAGCTTGTGGGTAGCGATGTCTCGTGGGATTCCCGGCATATCTGAATGGGAAAAGGCGAACAAATCTGCATGGTTAGTTAAGAATTCACGATACTTACTTGGGTTGGCGAGATCGTGCCCGATATAGGCTTTTTTCGTAAGATTGGTTTCGTCCAATTGGACTGGGGCGAGATCTTCGATCGTTGCTTTACAGGCCTCCACAACATCGGGGTCTTTGATGGCGTCCGTTGTCGGGTTGACCTTAGTCCCCGACACGGCTAATTGCTATGCCTTCGCGCTCGCCCCCTTTAGCTGTTGGGTGTGGGCGCAGTCTTGGGCTATTTTGTAGCATTCTTGTGCGGTGCGTGGCTCGCCTCGAATACTGAATACTCCCCATGGGGTAGGGAATTTGATCACTTGGTAAAGGCTTGAAGGGACCGCTCGCATGGCGTGTATCCACGGGCGTCCTATGATGACGTTGTACGTCGTTTCTTGATTCATCACGTGGAAAGTTGTTTCCAGCATGACTCATCACGGGCAGTGCTATTTCTCCGGACGTCCGTTCCACTGCATTGTTAAAATCGGTTAGTGTTATGCAGCGCGGTATTACCCTATCCTCGAGTCCATTTGTACGAGGACCCTTGGGTGGATAATACAGGCGCCACTTCCGTCATTGATCATGATTCTTTTAACATCTGTATCAGCGATACGTAACGTGATAACTAAAGCATCGTAATGAGGGAAAGACAAACCATCGGCATCAGACTTATCGAAGCTGATACTATCTTCGAAGTCGTCATACCGTTCATGGGCGATGGTCCGCTTTAGTTTGTGCGTGGTGGTGAACTTGACGTGATTGATCGCCAAGTCGTCGCCGCCTCCGACGATCATGTTTATCGTGCATGCTGGGGAGGGCGGCTTCGGCGGCCCGTGGGGTTGTTCCCGTCCGCGTGCAAAGTTGATTTTCCCTTTGTCACTGAGTAATTCCCTCAGGTATCCCTGGTTCAGCATCCTGACCACTTCTTGCCGTAGGCCTATGCAGTCTTCAGTTTTGTGCCCCCGTTCCTGATGGAACTCACATAGGACGTTTGATTTCCTTGTGGCGGGTTCTGATTTCATCTTCTGCGGCCACTGCACTTTGGTGCCCAGCTGCTCCAGTGCGTACACTATTTCTGAAGGAGACACAAAAAAGTTATGGGCGGATAATAAACGAGGCGTACCTCTTTCGTTTCGGAGTGGGGCGATGTATCGCTGTAGCGCGTCTGTATGCCTTGGTGGCGGATGGGAGGATCTGGTGTATGGCTGATGTCGATCTCTGTTGGAGCGGGGGAGTTGTTCTCGTCGTCCTTCGTTCCGTCGATCTCTTCTCGTTTCTGAGTGTATCGCTGTTCGCCGTTGGGTTGGCCCATTAAGATCATCCTCGTCCGCTCGTACCTCAGCGCAATAGGTGTTGTGGATTTCCTCCCATGTGGCAGGGGGATATTTTATGAGGCGGCTCAGCAACTTCTTGATTGCCCTTGAACCATCCCTGCTTAGCCCGTTCTGGAAAGCGGCGACTGCCATACCTTCCGATACGTTTGGTAGACTCATCCTTACCCTGTTAAACCTTGCTAGGAAATCCCTGAGTCCCTCTCCTGTAGTTTGCCTGATGGCGAAGATATCGTTGACCCTGGCCTCCGCTTTCTTCGCGCCTGCATGGGCTGTGACGAACTTATCCGCCATTTCCTCGAACGTTGATATTGCCTTAGCCGGTAGCTGAGAGTACCATGTTAAAGCCCCTCCTGTCAACGTCTCGCCAAACTTCTTCAGCAGTACCGACGGTAGTTGTTCTTTTGATAGGTCGTTGCCCTTCACAGCGGTGACGTAGTGGATCAGATGATCCTCGGGATCAGTGGTTCCGTCATATACCCTCAAGTAGGGTGTCATCTTGAAGGTTTTTGGGGTGGAGTGAGGGGCAGCTTCTTCAGTGTATGGTTGTTCAACGAACCTTCCCACGTCGCTTTTTGGTAGCAACTTGGGAGCACCGGGGATCTTGTCGACCCTTTCCTGATGTTCCTTCATCTAATCGCGGAGCGCCTTGTTTTCATTTTCCATTTCTTCCATCTTCTTTAGGATGGCTGTTAGCGTGCCATCATTGGTCTGTGTCTCGACGGGTTCGTTATTTGCTAGTGCAACTTCCGGTTCACCCACGGCAGCAGTGGTATCTACCGTCGGTGTACACCTGATGTTACCTTGTGGTGACCTCTCAACCAAGCCACTCAGAGCGCTTGTTAGCCATCTTTCCAGTAGGTTCTTGACCGCTGAGGGTGCTTCAGTGGCCGCAGATGTGGAAGCTCTTTTTTCGTACAAGATCGTCAGATCTTCGGATTGGGAAGGTACCCGATGTGATGCTAGGGGTTGCATTCAGGATGCCATCATCACTGACCTCGTTGAGAGGGCCAAGGAGATTGGTAGTGACACCCAATATAGCTTTCGATCTTGTGTTATTCTCAGCCATCTTTTGTGTTTGTGTGGTGTAGAGAATGGTAGTTGGTTGTTCTCTAGGTGGATACTATAATTTTGATTCTCGAAATCCTCACAAACGGCGCCAAATTGTTTGGCTCAAAAGTTAACAATATACTTTGTAAGCTAGAAAACAATCAAAAATAAGAAAAGGGTAAATCGTAATCAAATATAATAGACCTAGAGATGTAGAGATGATGTTATTGTTGTAGATCTAGTATTGCAAAGTGATAATATGAACTCAAGAGCATGTGTTCGTTTGAGGCAGAGATAGAGAGAGAAAGTCAGAAAATGAGAGAGTTGTATTATTCCAAAAAATCCCCCTCTTTACAATGTGAAGGTCTCCTTTATATAATAAGAGATCTTCCTCGAAATAATCAAAAAGTTACAAAGATAGGTAACGTCTCCCTAGTGAAGATACTGAGTCCTAAACGATGTCGCTTTTGTCCCCACGTCCGAGTCGTACCCGCTACGTTAGTCGGCGTACGCTCACTGAGCGTACCCACTGGCGTAGAGACGTTGACGGTCAAATTTGACCCTATACATATACCTTTGCTATAGGAGGTAAAATTTCCTTCAAATAACGATCTTAAATGTAGGAAAAATAGAAAAAAAATTTGACACATATGACAGTGGGTGGGTGAAGGAGAACAACGTCTAACAGGTTTCTAGATTGGCAAACTTTTGCGCAAGGAATGCATATAACACTAGATGCAAATTTCATATAGGAAAGGAAGAAAACTGAAATGGTATGCGTGTATATGTTGTCGATTAGCATACTATTTCTATTTTAATTTATTTATTAAAATGTACTCAAAAAAAGTTTCATAAATTATTAATTATTTTTTTCGCAAAAACTTGGGTAAAATTCTCGTTATAAACGTAGTATCCATTCCTATCACTTGTTCACAAGAATTATTACGTGGAATTATGAGAAAGTTTTATTCATAAATTTACTCAAAAAGTGTATTACTCCTCAGTATTTACCGAATTCTCTGATAGAACATCTTTTGCAAATTGATTTTCATTCCAATTTTTCAAAGACTTAACCGAGTCTAATAGAAAGATGACACGTGGCAGAGGCACCCCAAAAAGGAAAACGAATTGGCGCCAATTTCAACAAATTAACCGACTTTTAACTAATTTAGCTATATAAGATCGATCTTAGTCCTCAATCCTCATAGCTAGGGTTACTGCAGAAGAGATCATCATGTTCATCATATCAATCGTGGTGTTCATGTTGATGAGATTCCTAATTAACCGTCTCCTGCGCAGATTGCCGGGGAGAGTTTTAAGGATAATCAACTGGATTCTTATTTTCTGTGGGATCATCTCCTGGATCCTCCTTTTCTGGCGGTTCTTCACTACTGGTATATATTCTTCTTCTTTTGGGCTAAGATTATTATACATCCTGTTTTTGCTTTCATTATTATGATCTCCTCTGTTCATTCTTCTTAATAATTACTGCAGACAACAGATAGAAAATTGATGATTAGACGTTCTTTTCTGTTCATTTCTTTGTAAAAAGGAGTTTGTTTATATATGGTAACTTACTTACTATTGTGGTTAAACAGTGAGAACTCATGTGAAGCCACTGCCTAATAATGGAGGAAGAAAAATGCAGTATCTGAATCAAACTGATGAACTTCACCTTGTTTCTTTAGCACCAAATCCAGCAACACCACCGCCTTTTCGCAGCAACATTACAGTACTGAAGCTAGCTGCTTGTTCAGGAAAATTAATGGTGAAATTAATTGAGGAAAATTGATTGGAAGTGTTATAAGTACTTTGTTTTCAGTGTTATATGCTGTAGTGGTTAAACAGGTTCTACTATTACGTATTTCTATATGAATTTTAACTAAATAATGAGTTTAGGTGTTGATTGAAGAATATCAAATTGAGAAATCAAATTTGTGGATTTGCAATCTGAGTCTGATTCTTTGTACTAGAACAATTGATCCAAGTGAATGAAAACAGTGTCTTTGCTATTGCTCTAATTGAAATGGGAATTCATGTTCACTTTAATATTGCTCTTTAATGGTAGTCAAGATCATCTTTTTAATGGTAATTGAGGTGCCTTAATTTTTTTTAATTATTTATTTATTTGAAGTCTATTTTTCTAGCGTTTTTTTAGATACAAAGTTATTAGTAATTTTCTTATAATCAATAATTCCTAATAAGTCTTTCTTAATTGACAATATAACTAATCCATTATTTAACCTTTCTTGAGACATTGTTGATCTTAGGTAAGATTTTATTAATTTTAATTTTTAAAATTTCTTTCCGCTGAAGCGACGGTAACAAGAGTTATTAACATTATTCCATAAGTAATATAGGCATTGGAAAAAGAATCAAATCTTTTTATTTGACCGGGTGTATCAATTAAACTGTTATCTTCTAATTGTACTATTTTTCTTAATATTTTAATTTCGAAAATAAATCTAAACCATCAATATCGAATTGATTATTATGCTTTAAGGAACATTCTAGATTAAGGCAATATTTCTTCAAATTTTCATCATCTAGTGATCTTAATTTTTACTGCTAAATAGAAAACTAAAATATTTTCATATGTTTCGAATTGTTCAAATCTATTTTGAAGTGAAAAAAAATAGCCTTGTCTACTATGTATAAAGTAATCAAATCCAAAGGACTATTCAAAAAATTTTGAGATTTTATTATCAACATTCTTATCAAATTGTTATTTTCCTATATATCATATGTTTCTTACGAAATTTCGGTTCGATATTCGTTTCAAGTGCAATTTTCGTGGCAGAAATCATAGCAGTTGCAAATCCTTCTTCTCTATACTTGTTAAAGAAAGAAATCAAACTTTTTCACTTCACATAACCTTTTTTAAATTTATACATAACCTATTAGGTATGACAAAAAATGGGTGCACTCATAAAAAGATAAAACATATGCGAGTAAAAGATTTAGGGTGTGTTCACTTGGGAAGAACTTACTCAAACTTGGTGTCAAATTATATGTTATGGTGATAATAGGTACTATAGTATTAATTAACCATAACTAAGTATCAAAGCGCATGCATGTAAAGTTGATTAACCAAATTTAAAGAAGAAGTTAAGTATCCAAATTAGAGACCAGATTTAACATATCAATTTACTAAAATCAAGTGACAAATTGAGGTGAGAGTATATATTAATTAATCATGATCAGTACATTTCTCTATACTCAAGGTAATGTTTTACTAGATTCTAAGTAAATGTAAACATATAGTACTACATTTTTAAACTTTCCCAAAAAAAATAAAAAAAAATCATGGAATTATTTGTGCTTTCAAAATTGTTCTCAAAGTGAAACAATCACAAATAGTTACTAATTATCTTACTCAATTTGTATAATGATTTTTTTTTTTTTTCCCTTTTAACAAACTTGGCACGTGCAACGGTGCAAGCCCACCAACAAGGTCTCCCGCCATTTCCAACAGAACCGATCGACTCCTTAACTAACTGAATCCCTCCCTCTTGTATAAAAAAAACCTTCCACATTTCATTATCCTTCAGCTATCTCAATTTTACATTTACAAAGGTTCAAGAAATTTCTCTTTTTGGCTTTCTGAAGAAAAAAAGAGATCACGAAAATGATGGGCAATTTCTTCAACTTTCGGATGCATAATCCTCACAGGCGGAGAAGGGTCAGAGCTCTAAGGCTGTGTGATTTTATCCCCGTTTTTGTCTTGTTTTTTTTCATCTACCTTTGGTTCATCTCCAATATTGGTGCGTACTTTCACCCATTTCAGTTTCTGCTTGAAATTTTCTTGTGTTTGCTCTGTTCATTATAGTTGAATAGATCTTCTCTGTATTTCAGTTTCTGGCTCTGCTTTTTGGGATCTTTTTTATTTACTGCTTCTTTTGGAAATCTACTTGTGTTTTCTCACATTACATGTTCTTCTCTGTTCATTATGGTTGAATTTTTTTCCATTTTTTAGCTCTCCTTTTTTTGGATTTTCTTGAGTTTTAGACAGTACTGGCGTTTCTGTTTTGTGATATAGTGATAGAATTGTAGGCATTTGTGTACTCAAAATGATAGAGGTTCTTTTGCTTGTATTTTTTTCACTGTTCATTCTGGTTAAGAATTTCAATTTTTTGCTCTTCCTTTATTATTTTCTTGAATTTTAGACGCTAGTAGTTTTCTACATGTATTTGTATACTGAAAAAATATATAGGTTCTTTTACTTGTGTTTTCTGTTCATTATTCTTGAAAAGATTTGCTGTTATCTTTATATTTCTAAATTTATGCTGCTTCTACAGTGAGAATGATGATCAGAAATGGAAGAACCATTGCACCCAACAGCATTCCTCTGTATCTGAATGACACCAATTTCGATCTTGCAATTCTGAAATCATTACCAGAGAAAACAGAGTACAAAACTCCAGCTGAAGCACTGAAAAGATCGAACTTAAAGATCAACAATGAAGCAACTGAGATACCAACAACACCGCCGCCATATCAACAACCCAACACCACCACATTTCCACCGCCGCCGCCGCTCACACAGCACCAAATCCAAGAACAGCAACTAAACAACATAGTGGAAGCATTAATCGGAGCAGGGGATTTTGCAGGGTGGGCAAATTTATTATCTTCCACAGATTTATCATCTCTTCCGCTCTCCGCCACTTTTTTCATCCCAGGCAACGACGCCATGTCAAATCATCAAACACCTGGCGATCACAATATCAACTTAGACCCATTTCTCATTGCCTATCATATAATCCCACAACGCCTCTCTTTCGCCGATCTCCAACAGTTCAAATCCAACACTCGCCTTCCAACTCTCTTACCTTCTAAATTCATCGTCATTACAAACAATTCTTTAACCAATTTTACTGTCGATGGCTCTCAAATCACCTACCCAGATGTTTACGTAAATTCTGCTTTTACAGTACATGGTGTTAATAAAGTTCTTGAATATTCCGTTTACGGTGCTGATCATGTGTTCTCTCCTCCAGAGAACAATACTGTGCCTACTCAAACTGTTGCACCTATCCCACCAAAGACAAAGACAAAGCCAAAGCCGAAGCCAAAGACATTATTATTTCCTGAAGGAGGTGGAGGTTTTATTGATGGTTGGAGGAGTTCTAATTCAACTAGAGCATTTCCTATTGAGAAATTAATGTTTGACATATCTGTTCTGTTTTTCATATTTTTTTGGGTTTGAGATTTGAGAACTTATGGGATATAATGTTCTAGCTTAACATTTTGATGAAGAGAATATACTGAGAAACTGGATTACTGCTTTGTTTTTAATCATAGTTTTTAGGTCAGTAAATGGATCTATGTTATGGTGAATACATGCAGAAATGAGAAAGTTTATTGTTTCAACATCTCACCATTGTATGTTTTTGTTTTTATGTGTGCTATAGTCAGCAAAGATATTAAACTGTCAACTTGTGGACTTTGATGTGACTTTTCAACAATTATTTTTCTAAATTTTTTTATTTCATCATAATATAATGTATGAATGAAATTAATATTTTAAACTTTGTGACCAATCAAATAATGTCATATAAATTGAAATGGAGAAAATTTCATTAATTATAATTAGAATATGATACTCTCCCTAAATATAACGCGCTGTAATAGATTATCATGATATGATACTATCATAATCTATGGTTCTGAACAATTACTACAATTTTTGTAAAACTATTCAATGACTCGATCGACCCCGAAAATTAGAAGTATCAAATATAAAAAGGACTCTGCGGACGTTGCAAATATAACCCGAGTATTACGCCTAGGGTCGAATCCACAGAGAGTTAACCTATCAACTGCTATCTTCAGACCCACTAAGTCTTCAGAACCAGCTTCCCAAATATTCAAATCTCAGTTGAGTGTTCTTTAACAACTAGCTTGCAAATAACTAAATGGCTGTAACTAAGTAAGAATAAAGGTTGTAAACAATTATGAGAAAAAGCTAAGGCAATGATTTCCCCTATTGATGGAATCCCTTCTGTTTATGCTCATACAAATTTACCAACACATCTCTATCAATCATGAACGCTAATCTTACCGTAAATCTCTCCCGAGTAATCTCAGTAATTTACTATTGCACTCTCCCGAGATACACTAGCTTACTTTATTTAGCACGATTCACTTTAGATTACACCCAAGGCTTCGTTATCCCTAATCCCGCCTTTAAACCTGCAATTATAGATTCCTCTAATAATCTAGGAGTGGTGTTGTTCAACAATACCCTAAATATGCACTCTTTTCCAAGTTATGCACACTAAATAGCACAGCTAATTGAGGATCCTGTCAATTAACTACAACAAACATGAAGTTGAACAAATAAAGATTAAACTAGCAATTTGTATTCACATAAACAAGAAGTTCATCACCCAATAGGTTCCATCAACGCCTTAGACAAGGAATTTAGCTACTCATGGCTATGGGAACATAAACTAAGCTTGAATTCATCATAAAATCAAAAGAAAAGAAGAAAGATGTTTAGAGTACTTTCTCACAATTGTTTTCCTTGCTAAGAAACCTAAAAAATCAATACATGCCTCTCTTGGGCGAAGTCTCATGTTTTAAATAGGGTTTAGGTCTAAAAATCCCGTAATTGACACTTTGGTCCCAGAAGTTTCTGCGCCTGCCGTGGTTCTGCCGCGGTCGCGGTAGAACCACGGCCAAACACCCTCGCGGAATCTCTGAACTTCTGCAGCTGCTTCCCACCGCGGTTCTGCCGCGGTCGCGGTGAAACCGCGGTGGATCCAGTTCTCTGAATCTTCGGCCTGTTTTTGCACGGGTCACTTAGGAAATTTCACAGTTGGCCTCTTTTTCATCACTTTTGACTCCAAAACTGCTCCTTAGCCGTCTTTATACATATATCATCTACAAATCATGAAAAGCACTAATAAGAGCATTTTGTCATCACTTTTAGCATTAAAACTACACAAGAAGGTGATTATTTAAGGTGTGATTATAGTCAAATTCACCTATTATCAGAAATGAATATTGCTGATTTTTTTATCCTGTATTCATCCAATTTTTATTACCTGCTATAGTATATGCTGGAATCGCTACTCATGAAGGAATATAATCTAGTATATTATAATGGAGAAGTGGAAAATAGTGGAAATTTGTTAATTAGAACAATTTGCTTGAATTAAATAATTTAATTTTTAGTTTCCTGTATAATTTGCTGGAGTGTTATATTGTAAAACCACTATATCCTGTAATTACTACTGGAATGGAATAATGTAGATTTTTTATCCTATATTCATCCAATTTTTATTACCTCCTATAGTACATGCTGGAATCGCTACTCATGAAGGAATATAATACAGAATATAATAATGAAGAAGTGGAAAATAGTGGAAATTTGGTATCCAGAACAATTTGCTGGAATTAAATAATTTAATATTTAGTGTCCTGTATAATTTACTGGAGTTTTATATTATACAACCACTATATCCTGTAATTGTTACTGGAAATGAATATTGCTCATTTTTTTATCCTATATTCATCCAATTTTTATTACCTCGTATATTATATGCTGGAATCGCTACTCATGAAGGAATATAATCCAGTATATTATAATGGAGAAGTGAAAAATACTGGAAATTTTGTAATTAGAACAATTTACTGAAATTAAATAATTTAATATTTCGTTTCTTGTATATTATACTGGAGTTTTATATTGTAAAACCACTATATCCTGTAATTACTACTGGAATGAAATAATGCAGATTTTTTTATCCTATACTCATCCAATTTTTATTACCTGCTATCGTACATGCTGGAATCGCTACTCATGAAGGAATATAATCTAGTATATTATAATGGAGAAGTGGAAAATAGTTGAAATTTAGTAATTAGAACAATTTGCTGGAATTAAATAATTTAATTTTTAGTTTCCTGTATAATTTGGTGGAATGTTATATTGTAAAACCACTATATCCTGTAATTACTACTGGAATAGAATAATGCAGATTTTTTTATCCTATATTCATCCAATTTTTGTTTCCTGTATGTTACACTGGAGTAATATATTGTTAAAGCAGTAAACCCCGTATTTAATACTGGATATGGAAAATCACTAAAAAAAATGACTAATAATAAAGAACTCACCTAGTATAATATACTGGAGATAAAGCTTATACAAGGCACATGTTCCGTGAAATTTACTGGAATCAAACAAAATTTACTAGAGGATAACCACTAACATCAAGTATAATATACTGGACAAAATGAAAGTAAGTGGAATTACATAATTTAATACTGGCTATGCCACGCTATTTTGACTTTAATCTGCTGTCCATTCGCCATCGAACGCAATAATCAAGAAATTTGTATGCATCCTGTATTTAATGAACCCAAATAATTAGATATCTAGAAATTATACTGTTTAAAAATATAATATTCATCCAATATAATATACTGGAGAATAAGCTTACATACAAGTGATGTCCCGTAACATATACTGGATTAAAACAAAACTCAATTATATTCTAGTCTTAGAACTTATCCAGTATAACATACTGGAGAAAAAGCTTAGACACGGGCGATGTCCCGTAAAATATACAGGATTAAAACAAAACTCAATTATAATCTAGTCTGAAAACAGAATTCGTCCAGTATAACATACTGGAGAAAAACATTACACACATGTGACGTACTTTAAATTATTCTGGATTGAAATAAAACTCAACTATATTATAACATAATATCTACATTAACGAAACATACTTCAAGTGAATTACAATGCATTTTTTATGAGATTTCCAATATAATAAGCTGGAAACGTCCAGTAAATTATATTCTAGTCTAAATAGAACTCAACTATATTATACTCTAAATAGAACTCGTCCAGTATAACATACTGGAGAAAATTTTAGACACAGGTGATTTCCTGTAAAATATACTGGATTGATATAAAACTCAATTATATTCTAGTTTATGCAGAACTTACCCAGTATAACATACTGGAGAATAAGCTAACACACAGGTAATGTCCCGTAAAATATACTGGATTCAAACAAAACTCAATTATATTCTAGTCTTAGAACTTATCCAGTATAACATAAAAAAATATTACACACAGGTGACGTCCCGTAAAATATTCCGGATTCAAACAAAATTCAATTATATTCTAGTCTTATAACTTATCCAGTATAACTTATTGGAGAATAAGCTTATACACAGGTGATGTCTCGTAAAATATACTGGATTCTATTAAAACTCAATTATATTCTAGTCTTAGAAATTATCCAGTATAACATACTGGAGAATAAGCTTACACACATGAGATGTCCCGTAAAATATACTGGATTAAAATAAAACTCAATTATATTCTTGTCTTAGAACTTATTCAGTTTAACATACTGGAGAATAAGCTTACACACAGGTGACGTCCCGTAAAATATTCTGGATTCAAACAAAACTCAATTATATTCTAGTGTTAGAACTTATCCAGTATAACATATTGGAGGAAAAGCTTACACACACGTGATGTCCCGTAAAATATACTGGATTCAAACAAAACTCAATTGTATTATAACATAATATCTACATTAACGAAACATACTTCAAGTGAATTATAATGCTTTTTTATGAGATTTCCAGTATAATAAGCTGGAAAAATCTTCGCTTTAGATATTAATTTAGAAACGTCGAACAAATTATATTGGCGCTATGTTCTACATTGAGAAAATTAGACAATAACACAGATTAAAGCATTAAAAACAAATCAAAAATTCGAAAAATTAAATTTTTTTACTGATACTTTGAATTTTATGGTTTAATTTCTTGATCGTAGAAGAAATTTAAATAATCAGACAAATTTTAGATAGAACTTACTTCGATTTGCAGATTGACGACGGAAATTTTGCTAAAACTTCGATTTGCAGATTGACGCAGAACGATTTTGCTAACACTTCGATTTGCAAATTAACGCCGGAAGATTTTGCGAATACCTCGATTAACACCGAAAGATTTTGCTAATATTTCGATTTACAGATTGACGGCGAAAATTTTCCTAATAACTCGATTTGAAAATTAATGCCGGAAGATTTTGTTAAGTTTTGCTAAAAGAAGAATTTAAGGTGAAGTCGCGTAAATTAATAAAAAAAGTAGGGGTATTTTAGTCAACAAAATGTTACCGCACTAAATTAGTGGCTAAATATCGTTGACCGGTGATTATGTGGCTACATT